TTAAGGAATATTTGTGCACATAAGGATTGTTTTGGGATTTGCAAAAAAGATGGCTGTGACCCTGACTTACTGTCTGCAGGAACCATGCATCTTTGATGTTTTTTGCCCAGACTTGGTGAAAGTGTAATTTCTAAGCTTCCACTGAGTAGGACTGGATGAATGCATACACATTATCCTGTTCTTTCATCCTCTGAGGAAGCCTTCTTATCTCCCTTAGAAGTGGAAAATTAAGATCCACCTCAGGTTCTTCAGAATTCTCCACCCACTTTGCCTTTGCTTCTCTTGAGAATTTTGGGGATGCCCTCTGCTCCCTCTGATAAGAATTGCCCATAAAGACTCTTGGGATATATGATATTATTTTAGCCTAGGCCTGAAATTAAGATGCAACTGAAGAAATGTAGAAAAAAAAAGATTAAAACAAGTAAATAAAATATACATTCCTATCCATTTACTAAGGCTAGCAGCATAAGGATACCTCTGCTGTGGACGTGATGACGCCACCGCCACAGTCCACTGCCAGATCACAGAACCAGATTTTACATTTCTTCAGTTGCTTCCTGGTTTCTGGCTTAGGCCAAAATGATGTCATGCATCCCAGGAGTCTTCATGGGTATTTTTTCCTTCATCTGCAGGAGAGGAGGAGAATCTAGTTTAAAGCAGAGTTCTAGCTGACAAAAAAGGCAGCAGCTAGCTACTGTAGCTACTGACTTTTAGAATACAGACACTTACCTGTCCCTCAGTCCAGCGGTGTCCTCACCACGGCTGTTTTCACCAGCCGTCTTCACTCCCCGGCGCCGGCATTTTCAGTGTGGGCACCCGGCTGTGACAGCTTGCGGCTTCACAGCCGTGTGCCCACTGCGCATGCGTGAGAAATGCAGCTCATTCTGAGTGACCCCGTAGTCTTCTGGGACCTGTCACATGTCCCAAAAGACTATGGGGAGAGGGGGGCGGACAACTTCCACTTCCAATTGCCTAGGCGATCGCAGCGGAAGTGGGAGCTGGTACCTGTCAAATTCGAGTACCCACTCCCCTCCGCTCCCCAAAAGTGTCAATCCTTAATGGGGAGCGGGGGTCAAAAACTTAAAACGTAACTTCCCCTTTTGGGTGGAGCTCTGCTTTAAGCACATCCTCCTGTCTACATGCCTGAGCTAAGGGTAGATGGATTCCAGAAAGTAAATGCTACATGAATCATCTGCCCTTTTTAAACATTAACCAAAGAGGGTTTTCAGTTAGTGGTGATCAGATACAGGTGAATTATTATTTTTTATTTATTTCAGATACTTATATAGCACCATCAATTTACACATATATATTGTACATTGACATCAGTCCCTAACCCTCAAGGGGCATACAATCAAAGGTCCCTAACTTACATTCATACATACACATACTAGAGACAATTTAGACAGGATCCAATGAACCTACCAGCATGACTTTGGAGTGTGGGAGGAAACCAGAGTACCCGGAGAAAACCCATGAAGGCACAGGGAGAACATGTAAACTCCAGGCAGGTGGAGCCATGGCTGGGATTTTAACCAGCAACCCTAGTACTGCCAGGCAGAAGTGCTAACCATTTAGCCACTGTGCCACCCAATTATGCTTTAAAATCATCCCTGTATTGCTTATTCCTCCCCCTTTCCTTCTCTAAAATAAATTGTCCACATATCATTATTATTAAATGTATTTCATCATTATTCAGGATGATACTGGCACAAACTGAAGTAATCTCCCCCTTTAACCACTTGCTCATTGCAGTACATACATATACATCCTGTCGACTGCAGCCATGAGCTTGGTATTATTTTTTTTTACATCTGCCAATAAGCTGTTCAGCAAGGCTAAATTTACATTAGCGTTTAAAGCAAGTGTTTCATTGGCATTTTTGAAGCCCCACAATTGCCTGTCAAAATGATGTGCATTGAAGTAACCAGTGTTGTCCACATGGCTGCATTTGCTTTGCTTTGTGATCTGCCAAATTTGATCTGTCATGTGGCTTGCTTTAATGCTCCCCAAACACTTCCATTTAATTCAATGTAAATACGCTGCAAACGCATCACAAACGCATCACAAACGCCCCTATGGCATTTACAGCATGTTTGAGATGAGTTTAGAAAGTGTTAGCTGAGATGAACACAGAAGAGGCGTCTGGAAAGCGTTATTTAAAATGATGCAAACACATTAAAAATACATCAGATGCATCAAAAACGCAATAGGTGCATTAAATGGCGTTTACATTTCAATGTATGTGTAAATGAGGCCTAAAAGTAATCTTGGCAACAAACAAATTTTAATAAAAAGAATAAAAATAATTAAAAGAAACAGTTTAGATTATAAACTCTAAAGATTAAAAAAAAACAAGTAATTTGCCGGTGGATGCGTTTTGGAAAAGGTGCATGCACCTTTTTCCTTGCGTGAAACGCGGGTACAGCAGTCCATTCAAATGAATGGGTAGCCGTGCCTGGGCAAATGCGGGCCACACGGGACACACAGCCCGCAATAGTGTGAACCTGGCCTTAAACTGTGACATATGAACATTTTTGGACAATGTAGTTTGTTGCCATTTCACAGGCACACATTTTTAAAATTTGACATTATGGATATCTATTTATTGAACGCAACACCATCTTTTATATTTTACCAAAAAATGGGTATTACAGTGTTTGTGTGCCCTAAAATTCGATTTTATTGTATCTTTCCCTGAAAATTTGCATTTGGCAAACAGCTGTGGAAATATTGTGTGACTTATCCACTTGAAGACTGCAATAGGTCAGTGGTTTACCAGGGTTATGGTTGAAGAAATCAACAACCTGGGTATTTTTTTTAGCTGTCCTAGCAGCCACTGGTGGCAGGAGGGGACGCTCCCGCTGCTCGCCAGTGTTTAGCAGGCTTACTGTTAAAACCGGCACAGTGCAGCCGGCTGAAGATGGAGACAATGAGAGACTCTATGGTCTCTGATTGCCTCTATCATGATGGAGTGACATCATGACGTCACTTAAAGTCAGTGGCGGATAAAAACAATTTTTTTTTCTTTTTTAAAGCAAAAGTTAAAAAAAAAATGTATTATGCTTTTAAAGGTAAAGGAGAGATTTGGGGTTGTTATGAGGGACCTTAACGGGACCTGTCATGCATATTTCTATTACAAGGGATGTTTGCATTCCTTGTAATAGGAATAAAAGTGATAAAAAAAATAAAGGAACAGTGTAAAAATTAAAATAAAATAAATAAAAATTCTTTTTTTTTTAGAGTGCTCCCATCCCTCTGTGCTCATGTGCAGAAGCAAACGCATACGTAAAGTGCTCACACATATGTAAATGGTGGTCGCAGCACACATGTTAGGTATTGCCATAAACATTAGAGCAAGAGCAATAATTCTAGTGCTAGACCTCCTCTGCAACTCTAAATAGATAACCTGTAAAATATTTGAAAGCATCGTCTATGGAGATATTTAAGTGCCATAGTTCGTCACCATTCTACAAGCGTGTGCAATTTTACAGCATGACATGTTAGGTATCTATTTACTCGCTGTAACATCCTCTTTCAGTTTTAACAACAAAAAAATAGTCTTGATTGAACACTCTTTTTTACCCTCATGAGTCTCATTTTTGATGTCCTCTTATTATTGTTGCCTTTGTATAAATCTTGATTATATAGACTGGTGGTCTCCAAACTGTGGCCGAAGGCAGTAATTCTTCCACAGATGTGAAGCACTATTTCTCCCACTCACACCAACAATGGAGCATAATTCCTTCCACTGAAACCAATGATGGGGGACTATTCCTCCCACTAATACCAATGATGGGGCACTATTCCTCCCACAATCCCCCCAGCAATACCAATGATAGGGCACTATTCCTCCCACAATCCCCCCAGCAATACCAATGATAGGGCACTATTCCTCCCAGCAATACCAATGATGGGGCAGTATTCCTCCCAGTGATACCAATGATGGGGCACAATTCCTCCCACTATTCCCAGAGCAATACCAATGATAAGGCACTATTCCTCCCACTATTCCCCCAGTAATACCAATGATGGGGCACTATTCCTCCCAGCAATACCAATGAAGGGGCACCATTCCTCCCAGTAATACCAATGATTGGGCACTATTCCTCCCAGCAATACCAATGATGGGGCACTATTCCTCCCAGCAATACTAATGATGGGGTACATTTCCTCCCACTATTCCCCCAGCAATACTAATGATGGGGCACATTTCCTCCCACTATTCCCCCAGCAATACTAATGATGGGGCACTATTCCTCCCAGTAATACCAATGATGGGGCACTATTCCTTCCACTATTCCTCCTAGTAATACCAATAATGGGGCACTATTCCTCCCAGCAATACTAATGATGGGGCACTATTCCTCCCAGTAATACCAATGATGGGGCACTGTTCCTTCCACTATTCTCCCAGCAATACCAATGATGGGGCACTATTCCTCCCAGTAATACCAATGATGGGGCACTATTCCTCCCAGCAATACCAATGATGGGGCGCTATTCCTCCCAGTAATACCAATGATGGGGCGCTATTCCTCCCAGTAATACCAATGATGGGGCGCTATTCCTCCCAGTAATACCAATGATGGGGCACTATTCCTCCCACTAATACCAATGATGGGGCACTATTCCTCCCAGTCATACCAAAGATGGGACACTATTCCTCCCAGTAATACCAATGATGAGGCACTGTTCCTCCCAGTAATACCAATGATGGGGCACTATTCATCCCACTGACACCAATGATAGGGCACTATTCCTCCCAGTAATACCAATGATGGGACACTATTCCTCCCAGTAATACCAATTATGGGGCCCTATTCCTCCCAGTAATACCATTGATTGGGCACTATTCCTCCCAGCAATACCAATGATGGGGCACTATTCCTCCCAGCAATACCAATGATGGGGCACTATTCATCCCACTGACACCAATGATGGGGCACTATTCCTCCCAGTAATACCAATGATGGGGCACTATTCCTCTCACTAATACCAATGATGGGGCACTATTCCTCCCAGTAATACCAATGATGGGGCACTATTCCTCCCAGTAATACCAATGATGGGGTACTATTCCTCCCAGTAATACCAATGATGGGGCACTATTCATCCCACTGACACCAATGATGGGGCACTATTCCTCCCAGTAATACCAATTATGGGGCACTATTCCTCTCACTAATACTAATGATGGGGCACTATTCCTCCCAGGAATACCAATGATGGGGCACTATTCCTCTCAGTAATACTAATGATGGGGTACTATTCCTCCCAGTAATACCAATGATGGGGCACTATTCCTCTCAGTAATACCAATGATGGGGGAACTATTCCTCCCAGCAATACCAATGATGGGGAACTATTCCTCCCAGCAATACCAATGATGGGGAACTATTCTTCCCAGCAATACCAATGATGGGACACTATTCCTCCTCCTACTGAAGATAGGCACTATGTAACTGACCACCAATCCTGACGCAATGTTTATTCTCACTGATGCCGGGCCTGGGACATTTTCTACCCCCACTGGTCACAGTCTGGCCCCTCTAAAGTCTGAAGGACAGTAAACTGACCCTTTGTTTGAAAAGTCTGGAGTCCCCTGATGTATAAAATTGACTTTGATACATACATTGGTAATCCTGTACTGTTCTACTGTTATTGAAAATGTAATAAAGATTGAAACAGAAAAAAAATTGGGGTATATTTTATTTTTTCGTCTTAAATTGCTAAAGTGTATTTTTTCCAAAAAAATTGCATTTGAACAAACCACTGTGCAAATACCATGTGACATAAATAATTGCAACAACCACCATTTCATTCTCTAAGGTCTTTGCTAAAAAAAAATAAATAAATATATATATATATATATATATATATATATATATATATATATATGTTTGGGGGTTATAAATAATTTAAATAATTTTCTATCAAAAACTACAGATTTAAACTTGCAAACAAAACGTCCCAGGAAATGCTTGGTCTTCAAGTGCATAATAAAAAAAATTGACGCCAACATGCAGATCAACATGTCACTCTCATTTTAACCACTTCCTGTCCAGGTCAAAGTTTTTTTCTGTTTATTTTTGTTTTAATTTTTATTCTTCAGGACCTCCGCTTTCAGAAAAGACTTTGGGCCAGTTCACACTACGTGTTTCAGTTGTTTTTTTTCTGCATCCAAAACGCACAGACAGTAGGTTATATGGTTGTCAGTGTCATAGCTCACATCAGTGCTTGCAGTTCCAGTGCGTTCCGGTTGCAGAAAAAAAAGGTAGAACAGGCTGCATTTTTTTCTGCACAGGACTGTATTGAAATGCGGTAAAACGCATCGAACGTGCACTGGAATGCATGGGGACGCACCAAAAACGCAGTGGAACACACGTACCTATTTCAATTGAAGAAAAAGAGAGGGGGAAAAAATTAACTAGAATGCATAAAACGCATCAAAAACACACCAGAAAACGTGTGTGAACTGGCCCTTAATGTTTTGGGGTTCGGAGTAACTTGTGCTGATAAATGGCTGTGTAAATATCACGTGACATAAAAAAACCCAAATTGCAATCGCCTCTCTTTCATTCTAGTCCTCTGCCTTTAGAATGTATATCATGTTAGGGGAGGGAAGTGATTTTCTACAGATACGAACTGTCGGCGCTGTACAAATCCTGTATTATAAGAAGAGTCATCATGGATGGGAGGAATTATAATATTGTCCGGACGTGAAGAGGTTACAATGGGAGGTCCTCTGGCTCTGCCTGTGGGCGGGGACGTTTGGCTGAGTGCGGCCGCCGTAGTCGGAGTCCCCTCCCCCTCTCCCGGTTGCAGTTGTCCTGTAGATGAGGTTCCTGCTCCGGGACTTGCAGTGGGGAGATGTCGGGGTCCGGTGGGGGTCCATCTACGGCCACCATGCAGGATGTACAGCAGATGATCGCTAAGAAGGACGAGCTGGAAGCTGAGATAAAGGCGTTCTATGAGGTCCTGGAGGATGTGAGTCCTGCTGTGTCATTGCTGTCAGTGTACTGTGCGTATCGCCGATCGCGGTGCTCCGATCGGTCCTAGGTCTGTCGGTGTACTGTGCGTATATCGTCCGATCGCGGTGCTCCGATCGGTCCTAGGTCTGTCGGTGTACTGTGCGTATCGTCCGATCGCGGTGCTCCGATCGGTCCTAGGTCTGTCTGTCTGTGTACTGTGCGTATCGTCCGATCGCGGTGCCCCGATCGGTCCTAGGTCTAGGTGTCGGTGTACTGTGCGTATCGTCCGATCGCGGTGCTGCGTATCGTCCGATCGCGGTGCTCCGATCGGTCCTAGGTCTGTCGGTGTACTGTGCGTATCGTCCGATCGCGGTGCTCCGATCGGTCCTAGGTCTGTCGGTGTACTCTGCGTATCGTATCGTCCGATCCGGTGCTCGGTCCTAGGTCTGTCGGTGTACTGTGCGTATCGTCCGATCGCGGTGCTCCGATCGGTCCTAGGTCTGTCGGTGTACTGCTGCGTATCGTCCGATCGCGGTGCGTATCCGATCGGTCCTAGGTCTGTCGGTGTACTCTGCGTATCGTCCGATTGGTCCTAGGTCTGTCGGTCTGTGGTGTACTCTGCGTATCGGTGTCTCTGCGATCGGTCCTAGGTCTGTCGGTGTACTCTGCGTACTCCGATGCGTGCTCCGATCGGTCCTGTACTCTGCGTAACTATCGGTCCTAGGTCTGTCGGTGTACTCTGCGTATCGTCCGATCGCGGTGCTCCGATCGGTCCTAGGTCTGTCGGTGTACTCTGCGTATCGTCCGATCTGCGGTGCTCCGATCTAGGTCTGTCGGTCCTAGGTCTGTCGGTGTACTCTGCGTATCGTCCGGTCGCGGTGTACTCTGCGTATCGTCGGTCCTAGGTGCTACCGATCGGATCCTAGGTCTGTCTGTCGGTGTACTGTGCGTATCGTCCGATCGGTCCTAGGTCTGTCGGTGTACTCTGTACTGTGGTATCGTCCGATCGCGGTGCTCCGATCGGTCCTAGGTCTGTCGGTGTCTGTGGTGCGTATCGTGCGTATCGTCCGATCGCGGTGCTCCGATCGGTCCTAGGTCTGTCGGTGTACTCTGCGTATCGTCCGATCGCGGTGCTCCGATCGGTCCTAGGTCTGTCGGTGTACTCTGCGTATCGTCCGATCGCGGTGCCCGATCGGTCCTAGGTCTGTCGGTGTACTGTGCGTATCGTCCGATCGCGGTGCTCCGATCGGTCCTAGGTCTGTCGGTGTACTCTGCGTATCGTCCGATCGCGGTGCTCCGATCGGTCCTAGGTCTGTCGGTGTACTCTGCGTATCGTCCGAGGTCTGTCGGTGTACTCCAATCGGTCCTAGTCTGTCGGTGTACTCTGCGTATCGTCCGATCGGTCCTAGGTCTGTCGGTGTACTCTGCGCGTATCGTCCGATTGGTCCTAGGTCTGTCTGTCGGTGTCCGATCGGTCCGATCGATCGGTCCTAGGTCTGTCGGTGTACTCTGCGTATCCGTATCGGTCCGATCGCGTCCTAGGTCTGTCTGGTGTACTCTGCGTATCGTCCGATCGCGGTGCTCCGATCGGTCCTAGGTCTAGGTCTGTCGGTGTACTCTCGTATCGTCCGATTGCGGTGCTCCGATCGGTCCTAGGTCTGTCGGTGTACTCTGCGTATCGTCCGATCGCGGTGCTCCGATCGGTGTCCTAGGTCTCGGTCGGTGTACTGTGCGTATCGTCCGATCGGTCCGAGGTCTGTCGGTGTACTGTGCGTATCGTCCGATCGCGGTGCTCCGATCGGTCCTAGGGTCTGTCGGTGTACTGTGCGTATCGTCCCGATCGCGGTGCCCGATCGGTCCTAGGTCTGTCGGTGTACTCTGCGTATCGTCCGATCGCGGTGCTGCCCGATCGGTCCTAGGTCTGTCGGTGTACTGTGCGTATCGTCCGATCGCGGTGCTCCGATCGGTCTGTCGGGTCTGTCGTATCGTCCGATCGTGGTCCTCCGATCGGTCCTAGGTCTGTCGGTGTACTCTGCGTATCGTCCGATTGGTCCTAGGTCTGTCGGTGTACTCTGCGTATCGTCCGATCGGTCCTAGGTCTGTCGGTGTACTCTGCGTATCCTCCGATCGATCCTAGGTCTGTCGGTGTACTCTGCGTATCGTCCGATGGCGGTGCTCCGATTGGTCCTAGGTCTGTCGGTGTACTCTGCGTATCCTCCGATCGATCCTATCGGGTCTGTTGGTGTACTCTGCGTATCGTCTGATCGCGGTGCTCTGATCGGTCCTAGGTCTGTCGGTGTACCGTGCGTATCGTCCGATCGCGGTGCTCCGATCGGTCCTAGGTCTGTCGGTGTACTCTGCGTATCGTCCGATCGCGGTATCCGGTCGGTCCTAGGTCTGTCCGTGTACTGTGCGTATCGTCCGATCGCGGTGCTCCGATCGGTCCTAGGTCTGTCGGTGTACTCTGCGTATCCTCCTATCGGTCCTAGGTCTGTCGGTGTACTGTGCGTATCGTCCGATCGCGGTGCTCCGATTGGTCCTAGGTCTGTCAGTGTACTCTGCGTATCCTCCGATATCCTCCGATCGATCCTAGGTCTGTTGGTGTACTCTGCGTATCGTCTGATCGGCTCTCGATCGGTGTAGTCCTAGGTCTGTCGGTGTACTGTGCGTATCGTCCGATCGCGGTGCTCCGATCGGTCCTAGGTCTGTCGGTGTACTCTGCGTATCCTCCTATCGGTCCTAGGTCTGTCGGTGTACTGTGCGTATCGTCCGATCGCGGTGCTCCGATTGGTCCTAGGTCTGTCAGTGTACTCTGGGTATCCTCCGATCGATCCTAGGTCTGTTGGTGTACTCTGCGTATCGTCTGATCGCGGTGCTCTGATCGGTCCTAGGTCTGTCGGTGTACTGTGCGTATCGTCCGATCGCGGTGCTCCGATCGGTCCTAGGTCTGTCGGTGTACTCTGCGTATCGTCCGATCGATCCGGTCCTAGGTCTGTCGGTGTACTGTGCGTATCGTCCGATCGCGGTGCTCTGATCGGTCCTAGTCTGTTGGTGTACTCTGCGTATCCTCCGATCGATCCTAGGTCTGTCGGTGTACTGTGCGTATCGTCCGATCGCGGTGCTCTGATCGGTCCTAGGTCTGTTGGTGTACTCTGCGTATCGTCCGATCGCGGTGCTCCGATCCGTCCTAGGTCTGTCGGTGTACTCTGCGTATCGTCCGATCACAGTGCTCCGATCGGTCCTAGGTCTGTCGGTGTACTAGGTCTGTCGGTGTACTGTGCGTATCGTCCGATCGCGGTGCTCCGATCGGTCCTAGGTCTGTCGGTGTGTACTCTGCATATCGTCCGATCGCGGTGCTCTGATCGGTCCTAGGTCTGTCGGTGTACTGTGCGTATCGTCCGATCGCGGTGCTCCGATCGGTCCTAGGTCTGTCGGTGTACTCTGCATATCGTCCGATCGCGGTGCTCTGATCGATCGGTCCTAGGTCTGTTGGTGTACTCTGCGTATCGTCCGATCACAGTGCTCCGATCGGTCCTAGGTCTGTCGGTGTACTCTGCGTATTGTCGGATCACAGTGCTCCGATCGGTCCTAGGTCTGTCGGTGTACTCTGCGTATCGTCCGATCACAGTGCTCCGATCGGTCCTAGGTCTGTCGGTGTACTAGGTCTGTCGGTGTACTGTGCGTATCGTCCGATCGCGGTGCTCCGATCGGTCCTAGGTCTGTCGGTGTACTCTGCGTATCGTCCGATCACAGTGCTCCGATCGGTCCTAGGTCTGTCGGTGTACTCTGCGTATCGTCCGATCGCAGTGCTCCGATCGGTCCTAGGTCTGTCAGTGTACTCTACTTATCCTTTAACTGCTTCTGCGCCGCCCTATAGCAGAAATAGTGCTACAGAGCGGTACGGGTGCGCTAAATCACATATATGCTATTTTGCAGTTCCAGGCAGGGGGCACACACCCTACTAGCGCCGCCATTCGCAGCCTCGATTGTCAATCACCGGGTCCCGGCAGTTGATTCCTCGTCAGCACCCGATGATTGCCGAGTATCTCCAACGGGGGATAGACCTGTCTATAAACAACACAGATCTCTCCGCTGTCAGCTCCTGCACACTGCTTTGTATGGCTCTGCATAGCACAGCCATACAAAGCAGTGTACTTACAGTGGAAACCACACACCCCATACTGTGAAATAGCACACAGTTAACCCTTTGATTGCCCCACATGTTAACCCCTTCCTCCCCAGTGCCATTAGTACAATGTCAGTGGTTTTGTTTTTGCACTGATCACTGTATTGGTGTCACTGGGGATGTCAGTGACACCAAGTCAGTTACCCCCAGTGTCAGAATGCCCGCCACAGTCCAGCAGTAAGTTGCTGATCGCCGCCATTACTAGTAAAAACAACCCCAACAAATCCCAGTATATATACTGCCATTTGTAAACGTTATAACTTTCACGTAAACCAAATAATATACACATATTGGGATTTTTTTTAAGTAAAGACATGTAGCAAAATACATTTTGGCCTAAATTTATGACAAAATTAGATTTTTTTAAAAAAATTTTTATTGGACATGTTTGATAGCAAAAAGTAAAAAATACTGTTTTTTTTTTTTTTTTTCTCAAAATTGTCCGGTCTTTTTTTTTTTTTTTTTTCTATAGCGCAAAAAAAAAACCACCACACAGGCGATCAAATACCACCGAAAGAAAGCTCTATTTGTGGGAAAAGAAGGACGTAAATTTCATTTGAGTGCAGCATTGCATGACCGCACAATTGTCAGTTAAAGTAGCGCAGCACCGTAATGGCCTGGTCAGGAAGGGGGGGGTAAATCCTCTGGAGGGCATGTGGTTAACAATCCCCCAGCTACACATCTAAACTTAGCCGAAAGTGGGGTACACACTATGAGAGAATTAGAGGAAAAATTCCATACGAGGAATGACCATTCGATTGATGGTGTGTACACAACTTCCGACATCCGATTCAGACTTTCCAAATGATAATACCCAAAGGGACAAACTCCCAAATTATTCTTGTACGTAAACAGAACTAATGATTTTCATGTATTGTGTACGGTTTTCTTATGAGAAAACTTGGATATGAAAGACTGCACATGATCAGATAATAAACAACAGTAATCTACGCTGCAACATTTCTACATCAAACAAAATATAAAGCCTTTGTCATTCAAAATTTTTGTACAATTAGTACCATCGCTGGGTTTGACTTGTTGTGAAACATCGAGGAAATCTAGATGATCGTTCATCTGATTTTCCTATCGTGTGTACATAGCTTAAGACTAGGCATACATTATGCAATTTTCTTTTTCTTCGACCACAAGTTGAAGGAAAGAAAATTACTTGATTCTCGCATCAACACAGTCGGTGTTGATGGGGGAATCCATCCTACAGTGATATTGTGTTTTTCCGACGGGAGGTATCCCCACCGGCAGAATACAATGATCACTGCTGGCAGCTATAGTCACCAGCAGTGATCGCAAAAAAAAAAAAGCCGACAGGCTGGTCGTACTGAAATTGATCAACTTCTGTACAACCAGCCTGCCCATAGATAGATCATAGTTTGGCTGGTTCCTGGTGAACCAGACGAATTTTGATCCATCTATGGCCGACTTAAGGGATAATGAGACAATAACACCAGAAAGTTGAACCATGGTTTTACTGCTCCCCCCAACCACTCCTCCTGTAGACAACCAGAGAGGCGTGTACGTACAACAAGAGGGGGGGGCGTGTTAGTACAACAAGAGGGGGGGCGTGTTAGTACAACAAGAGGGGGGGCCGTGTTAGTACAACAAGAGGGGGGGCCTCTTGTTGTACTAACTTCTGTACAACTTCTGTACAACCAGCCTGCCCATAGATAGATCATAGTTTGGCTGGTTCCTGGTGAACCAGACGAATTTTGATCCATCTATGGCCGACTTAAGGGATAATGAGACAATAACACCAGAAAGTTGAACCATGGTTTTACTGCTCCCCCCAACCACTCCTCCTGTAGACAACCAGAGAGGCGTGTACGTACAACAAGAGGGGGGGCGTGTTAGTACAACAAGAGGGGGGGCGTGTTAGTACAACAAGAGGGGGGGGGGCGTGTTAGTACAACAAGAGGGGGGGCCGTGTTAGTACAACAAGAGGGGGGGCCGTGTTAGTACAACAAGAGGGGGGGCCGTGTTAGTACAACAAGACGTGTTAGTACACAAGAGGGGGGGCCGTGTTAGTACAACAAGAGGGGGGGGCCGTGTTAGTACAACAAGAGGGGGGGCCGTGTTAGTACAACAAGGGGGGGGCCGTGTTAGTACAACAAGAGGGGGGCGTGTACGTACAACAAGAGGGGGGGGGTGTACGTACAACAAGGGGGGGCGTGTACGTACAACAAGAGGGGGGGCGTGTACGTACAACAAGAGGGGGGCGCGTACGTACAAGAGGGGGGGGCGCGTACGTACAAGAGGGGGGGCGCGTACGTACAAGAGGGGGGCGCGTACGTACAAGAGGGGGGGTGTAATACAACAAGAGGGGGGGTGTAGGATCAACGAGGGGGGGGCGTGTAGGATCAACGAGGGGGGGCGTGTAGGATCAACGAGGGGGGACGTGTAGGTTCAACAAGAGGGGGGGCGTGTAGGTTCAACAAGGGGGGGGTGTATGTTCAACAAGAGGGGGGGCGTGTACGTACAAGAGGGGGGGGCGTGTACGTTCAGCAGGGGGGGGACGTGTACGTTCAACAAGAGGGGGGGGGGGGTGTAGGTTCAACAAGGGGGGGGTTTAGGTTCAACAAGAGGGGGGGTGTGTACGTACAACAAGAGGGGGAGCGTGTACTTACAACTAGAGGGGTGTGTTCATATACCACAACTGTGATGGTTTGCACTGCAGCATGCCAAACATTATCTCTGCTGTCGCATCCAACAGGCAGTACCACCAGCTGAACGTAACCATGTGCCATGCAGGGTTTAAGGGGTCACAGCAGGCAGTAAGAAGGTAGCACAGGCCCTCCTCACCGCCTGGTGCTTTTTTGAAGAGTGATCCGCATTCAGAGAGCAGCACTAGTGTAAACTAGCCCGTAGGGTTACCATACACATTACAATCTGACCTTCCAATCTTTGTACAATTTACCAAGCTGTGTAATATAAGGACCTCCCTAATCTATCCAATCAGGCAGGCCTTTTCATTACCTAGTTGTTGGTAGATCTGTAAAAAAAAAAAAAACTGTACAATCAGATTGTAACATGTGTGGTGAGTCTAAGCAAAGAGAAATGGTGAGTCCAGGCATGTTCAGATCCTAGTCCAAGTCTGCCAGGAAGCTGTCGCCCCCTACCTGGCCCATCATAAGCCACCAAAGTATTCCCCAACCTAGAGCCAGGACTGCTGTTAGGAACCACAGGGCCTCATATAGCCACCCTGACAGGGCTCCCCCAAAGAAAACACAGTTATGAATGAACACAGTGAATGATCAGTACTGATTACTCATTGTGTTCATTCAGAAAAGGAGTGGCCTGGGAAATGTGATGTATTTACCAGACCCTTCCCCTTACTCTCCATATCTGATGGATCCTATTGTGTTTTTGTAGCTCCCAGTGGGAAGGAGAGGAGGGAATATGGCAGCACTACAGGGAGGTGGGAGCACACAGGGGGCCAAGGCAGCAGGGGTAAACATATGGTGCACAGGGAGGGTGAAGGGTGCGGCGGGGAGGCAATTACTGGAACCGATTCCCTGTATGTCTCTCCCTGCAACAGCTGAACGCCAGCAGGAGGGAGAGGAGAAGAAGCCAGCTTTCAGCTGCTGCAGAGAGAACCATACAGGGGATCGGTTCCAGTAATTGGCCCCCACTGTGCCGATCACCCTCCCTGCCCGCATCAGATTCACCCAGCTGTCTGGGCCCCGTACAGGAGGACCGGCGGTACCCCCTCATCCACAGCCACACATACACAAGAAGCAAGCATACTTGCAGGGAATACCTCAGCTATTTATGGTTTCCCCCGGTACAGTGACCTTCCTGGTGATCTTGCGGCCTGTCTGCACGCACCAGGCCTCTAGGAAAGTTGGAGACACAGGAGAAGGGGCTGAAGGGAGAACCTCTGCTTCAACCAAGACAGTGCTCAACTCCATTGGCTAGTAAGTTTGTTGTGCTTTTTTCTGAGAGCGTGATTTGTGAACCTTTACACTGGCGGTAATGTATACCACCCTCTGAAAAGCGATTAACAGTGGATTGAGCGTATGCAGAATATAGAAATTTTTTTTTGCATACTCGTTTATTGTACTCCTGCTTATGACCACACCGTCAAATACATGAGTACAGAGGCACACACCGTTCATGCCAATGACATGCTGTACACTGCACCTGGGCAGAGGAAATACCCCGGGAATTATGCGGAATGGGCTCAGACAACCCATGTGCTCACTACAAATATTCTGATATCTATGATGCCGACTTACCTTGTGCTATACGTTGGAGTTATGTGCTAATACTTCATTCACAGCAAAAGAATATTGGAATGGATGGACCGCTGGTGGACATTGATGGTTACCCGAGGGCAGATGTAGACCTCTACCAAATTCGGACAGCTCGGCATAACATTGTCTGTGAGTGGTTTATTGTTGTTCAGCATCGTTGGTCTTTCTCTGTTCTGCTAGTACTCTGTTGGGATTATTTTTGTAGGTTTATTCGAGAGGGTGGGATAGGCTTCCCTGAAGATTTCACCTAAAATTGATTCTAAAGGTTTGGGTTTTTTAAAGAAAAAATAACAAACATCCTATACTTACCTGCTGTGTGCAGTGGTTTTGCACAGAGCAGCCTGGATCCTGCTCTTCCTGGGGGCCCTCCTGTTGGGTGCCCCCACAGCAAGCAGCTATCTATTTTATTCTATTCTATTTTTTTTTTTCTCTATTCAAATTTAAATTTATTCCATTCGAATTTCGGAAGACAGTTAAATACTTTCTATTTTACTTTCTATTTTTTTCTATCCTATTCATTTCTATTCTAATTTATACTATTCAAAATTGAATTTATTCCATTTGAACCTCAAAAGTTATATTCTATTTCTTTCTATCTTCTAATCTATTTTATTGGAAATTCAAATGTCATAAGACTGTTCTATTCCTTCTATTTTATTCTATTCTATTCAAAATTTGAATTTTGGAATACAGTTATATACTTTCTATTTTATTCTATTCTATTGGAGTTTTTTCTATTCAATTCTATTTTTTTCTACTCAATGTATTCTATCCTATTGTTTTCTATTCTATTTGATTTTAAATTTATTCTATTCTAAATTTTAATTTTGAAGTTATATACTTTCTATTTTATTCTTTTATACTGTTTTTTTTCTATTCTTTTCTACCTGATTTACTCAATTTATTGTACTTTATTGTTTTCTATTTTATTCTAATCTATTCTATTCAATATCTAATTTATTCTATTTGAAATTCGAATTTCAAAAAACAGTTATATTTTTCCTATTCTATTCTGTTGTTTTTTTTATATTCTATTTTAGTCTTTTCTATTCCATTCTTTTCTAATCTAATCTGTTCTTTTGTTTTCTATTCTTTTATTTTCTATTCTGTTTTTATTCTAATCTATTCTTTTATGTTCTATTCTATTCTTTTTGTATTCAAATTCGATTTGAATTTTGCTTTGTTAATTTGGATTCGTTGCTATTATAATTCGGAAATACATTAGAATCTCCAAATACTGGAAAATTTGTCTGAATTTCAATTCGGAATGAAACAAACCACACATGTCTAATGCCAATTTAGTTGTCTGTGACTACCCTACTTTAAAGGGTAAGTACACACCCCAGACTCTGCTCCTTCACACAATGCACCTGAAATCACAGTTGACATTGCCTAGCCTACCCAAAGCCAACACAGCTCTAGTTGGCTTATCATTGCAAAATAATGCTGACATCATGTCACTTAGAATTGGTCACACAAAGGCTTTTTTTTTTCTGTTGTTCCACACCTGTATGATTTGTTCAAATCACACTTATAGAAAATGTTTATCTGCATGAGTAATCTGGAAGAAGAAAAAATGGAAAATTGAAAGATAAGTTACTCTCACACTGAAATCGGCAAAAACGCATATGCGTTTTTACTGCAAGTTTTTTTTTTTTTTTTTTTTTTTTTTTTACAGGACATGAAATTTTAATGTGTTTTTACCTAATTTGTTTTTATTGATTTCAATAGGGAGGTGCAGTGGAGGGTTGCAATTTTGTTTTTTTGTTTTTTAACGCACCAAAAATGCAGCAAGCAGGATTTTTAAAAACGCATTGGATCCACAACAGATCAGTTTAAAGAGTTCCATAGGAATACATGGTCTTCAATTTCTTTTTAGCGCAGAGGCGGAAGGAAAACGAATCGGTGTGTGAAAGCAGCCATACTTACTGTAATTTTCCTTTCCTACTGAGTTCCATGGGACCTGGAGCTGTCAGGGAAATGTGCTTTAGTTGGACTGGCACTCTAGGCTTTGTGTGTCTAATAAAGTAACAATGTAAATGTTTCTTGATTTTGGAAACAAAGCAAAAACAGAATTGCTCATTTTTGTTATAAGGTTTACAAAATGATCATAAAGCCATCATGAAAGACATTGAAGAGGCCTTGCACAACTTACATGCACGGGACAAAGAAAAGAGACTGAAAGACGAAGCCGAGGCGCAGGCTGAAGCTCTACAACATAACCTCGATCTTCCTGTGCCCTTTGCTAGAGTCGACGCGGTCAGCCCAGGATCTCCAGCTAGCATGTCTGTAAGTTTACCATACTTATTAGTTAGAATTGTTTTGCTCAACTTTTATTCCTCTTTGGTTCTCAGAAGTTCTTTTTGGTGTAGGGGCTAGATCACACAGGCTGCACTCAAACATTCCATTTTAGCATGCTGGTTGCTTTCAGTTTGGCATTTACTGCACCACACATGACAGAAGTCTACTGGATGGTGGGATGCGCTGTTTTAGTGCATCACATTGTTTACTTTATTTCCTTTATGTTTGGAGGAAATTAAATGTAATCTCCAAACACGGAAAGGTTTCTTCACAGTAAGAGCTGTGAAAATGTGGAATAGACTCCCTCAAGAGTTGGTTCTGGCCAGCTCAGTGGATTGCTTTAACCCCTGTACGCCAGCCACACACACAAATGTGCGGCCTCTCGGCGTCTAGGCTTAAACGCCGAGCAGCCGTACATTTGCGTTCATGTAAGAAAAAACATATGTGCTGAGAGCGCACGCCCTGCGCACTCCCAGCACGCATGTCCGGTACTCATGGAAAGGTCCCGGTCTGCTCTTTCGATCGGGTCCTTTCCCGATCATGTGACGACGCGTCACGGCGGTCACATGATCCCTAAACCACGCCCCGCCCGTTACGCCTCCCGCCTTCTGAAACTCTTAAAGGGCCGGGAGGCGCCGGCGGGAATGGGTTAAGCAGTTGCCGACTGCAGGTAGCCAATTGACGGCTGAACTGCGGCTGGCCAGTTCTGGGAGGCCGTCATATGAAGTCCTCCCAGAACGTGCTCTCCTGCGCACCCCCGGCGATCTCTGTGATTGCTGTGTCCTAAGGACACAGCTGATCATGTGATGTGGTAAAAGGCCAATCACAGCAGCCTTTTACCACATGATCAGCCGTGTCCAATGAAACACTGATCACTGGGAAATGCAATTGCCGGTTCTCGGCTGCCCTTTCCTCACGCTGTCAGAGCATGGGGAAAGTACTGCCGAGCATCGGCAGTTGTCAGGGCAGGGATCGGCACCGATCATCAGGGCACTAATGATCGGTGCCTAGCAGTGCCGCCCAGTAGTGCCGCCCACGTGTGCCCAGCAGTGCCGCCAGTTAGTGTCCAGCAGTCCCGCTTGTCAGTGCCGACTATCAGTACCCATCAGTGCCGCCTATCCGTGCCACCTCCTTAGTGTTGCCCATCAATGCACATCAGTGAAGGCAAAAAATTACCTGTTTGCAAAATTTTATAATAGAAACAAAGAAACCTTTTTTTTTTTTTTTTTTTGTTTATAGCGCAAAAAGTAAAATGCCCAGCAGCAAGTAAATGCCACCAAAAGAAAGCTCTATTTGTGAGAAAAAAATGACAAAAATGTTATGTGGGTATAATGTTGCATGACCGCGCAATTGTCATTCAAAGTGCTGAAACAGCGCTGAAAGTTGGAAATTGGCCTGGTAAGGAAGGGGGTATAAGTACCCAGTAGGCAAGTGGTTAAAAAAAGGCCTGGATTCTTTCTTAGATACACAGAATATAACTGGATACTAACATTTATAGGGTAACGTTTGATCCAGGGAATATCTGATTGCCTCTTGGGGGATCTGGAAGGAATTTATTCCCTGCGGGAGCAAATTGTATCATTCTTCGCATTTTTTTGCCTTCCTCTAGATCAACGTTTCTCAATACCTGGATGAACACTATTTGTCTAGACTCTCGGGGGGGGGGGGGGGGGTGCCTCATTGACTACCAGTATAACCTTTATTCCAAGGGTACACTTACCATGCCGACATCCTCCTCTGGACCACACCAGCGTGGTACAGTCCCTTCCCTCCAGTGCACTGCAACGGATAGGGGCATATAAAAACTATTGGAGGCACCGCTTGGCCCTGAAAAAAATTCACGCATGGATTCTATTTAAACCATACACCTTTCTTAGGATACACAAGAAAACAATTAATATATGACTGGATAAACTATCCTCCTCACGCAACTGAAAAAGCCTATAACAAAACACTATTCATCTCCATTACACCAACCGATTGGGCCCTATTCCCTCCCAAGACCCACTGACAACCACACGACTCCAGGCAGTGGGCACTATTCCTCCCACTTGACACCAACTATGTGGCACATTTCCTCCCACTGACATCAAGCCCTGCTATCGGCACGCTATTTTTTCCTCCCCCAGCACATGTTACACCAATGCAGATACTGTATTTGACACCAATACCTTTCGCACTAATTCACCCCCACTACTCCCCAATGACTGGGGCCTGAATATTGCACCCCCAACTGATCATGGGCCACAAACTATGGATATCCAGGGAAAACCTCCGTGACAAAATGTGCACCTTTTTGGGGCACTATCCGCCCACTGACACCAATGCCCCCACTGACACCAGATGATGGGGCACTATTTCCTGACACCATTATATTCCCCCCACATGTACACCAATTGCCTCTCTCTGGAATCCTGAAATTGGGGTATTCCCTGCGGGGGCAAATTGTTCACCTCCCACTGACACCAACGAATCTTATATCCCAAACCATATTAAAATAGGCACTTTTTTGCCTTCCTCTGGGACACACACTATTGCTCCCACTGAACACCATAAAATGGGGCACTATTCCTCACACTAGGGACACCAGGAATATTGTCCCGATGGGGCAACTATTCCTCCCAATGACACACGTTGATGGGGATCCCACAAGACACCAAGATGGAAGCACTAATCCTCCCACTACACCAACGAGGCCTGTGTCACTATACTTCCCTCTTTGATATCAACGATGGGCAATATTCCTCCCACTGGACACCATTGACTGGGCAGGAAATTAGTTTGCTCCCCCACTGATGCCAACTATTCCCCAACTGATAACCAACGACACCATGGGGGCACTATTCCGCCCCACTACACCAATATTTGATTGAAGCAACTATTCCTCCCACACAGACACCAATAATGGGCCATTTATTTTGGCACTATTCCTCCCACACTGACAATGACCAGTGATGGGGCACTAATCTACATCACCTACCTTGACACCATGTGTGATAGGACACTAATTTCCTACCCACTGACAACCAGGGAGCCTAGACACAAAATAAAATTAACATATCCCCCACTTCTTCACTAACGCATACCCCAAGCAATGAGGTCTGACAGACCGTATATCTGATTAGGCCACTGCATACTAACGGCTCACCATGATGTTTGCACCAAGTTTTTTTTGAGCATGGTGACCTGAGACACAATGGTGCGGGCGCACTATTCCTACAGACTGAGACCAATGATCATCATGGCACATAGGTCACCCCATGAAATGGACTCATCATGTGGTATTTCCTGCCCACTGATAACCAAGTATGTTTATTTGGGGGTCCACCACACTTCGGCATTAGAAAGAACCACTGCTCTAGATCAACTGTGTGTATAGGATTATAACTTTTTTTTTTTTTTTGGTTGAACTGGATGAACTTTTGTCTTTTTTTCAGCCAGACTAACTATGTAACTAAGTGCACTTCATTTGGCAGCGCAGCGTGGTACAGTAACCTCCAGTGCACTGTGGAAAATACGGCATGTCTGCATGTCACTGCACCACACATGGCAGAAGGATTGTGGCGTGAAAAGGGTACACAGAAAACAATTATTTTCTATATGCTCATATCGTGACTGGAGTTGATAAGGTGCAGAAAATCATCAGTCACTGCACATAGTGTGAACTGCAGTGATTACATTTTATTGTACATGCTTCTTCACCAGAAATCAAGCAGCATTGTAAAATAAAATATATTGAATCACTTCCACTAATGCTTAAGAAGAAACATATACGAGGGCTGGTGGACCCGATGCAGAGATGATCACCTCCAATGCCCTGCATACAGAGGTTTGCTCTTATGAGGTTACATGTAAAGTGCAGAGAAAACAATTAGCAGCTAAAGATTTCCAGGCCAACAGCCCATACAGATCCTGAATGTTGTCTGGTGCAGTAAGATAAAATGACAGCTCTTTTTAATTAAAATAATAAACCTGATATATTTAGGTCTCTGTGCAATCTCGAATCTCCTCTTCTGCGGACCCCCACCACTGCTGTCAGCCCCCTAAGCAAACCACAGTTTGCTCCGGGAGCAGAAGTGCGGGCACGTTCTCAAGCCACGTTGTGGGCTTCCATAGACACACAGCGTGGCTTGGCCCCATCCCCGCTCAGGATTTGATTGACAGCAGCAGGAGCCAATGGATCCTGCTGCTGCCTCTGTGCCCTATGAGGAGAGGAACACAGACCAGTGCTGCTGCAGACAGGCACAACACTGCATCAGGACAGGTAAGTATTTAGGAAGGTGAGGGGATGATACAAGTAGCGGGACATTTTTTTTTTTCACCTTAATGCAGGGAATGCACGAAGGTAAAAATGTTTTGGTTTTATAACCACTTGAAAGTGGTTGTAAAGGCAGAAGGTTATTTACCTTACTACATTCTATGCAGTAAGATAAAAAAACCTTTTACATGCAGCTTTCCCCCCACAGTCCCCCTAAATACTTAACTGAGACTGATCCTGATCCAGCAATGTACACAAGAACCGAGGCTCTTTCGCTTCTCATTAGCTGAGAAATAGCAGCTGGAGTCATTGGCTCTTGCTGCTGTCAATCAAATCCTGAGTGGGGGTGGGGCCAAGCCACAGAGAGTCTGTCTATGGATGCTTACAGCCCAGCTCGGGAGTGCGCCTGCTGCTGTCAATCATAGCCAGTGAGGAGGGACCGTGTCCGAGCCATGCTCTGTGAAACTTATTGACACACACAGCAGGGCTCCAGAGCGAGCATGGGTGCCTCCAAAGCAAGCAGCTTCATGTGGGGGCACTCGGCAGGGGGGTAAGCCAGGAGCACTGGTAGGAGAATCGAAAAGAGGAGAATCGGGGCTGCTCTGTGCAAAATCATTGCTCAGAGCAGGTAGGTATGACGTTTGTTATTTTATTTAAAAAACAAACTTTTACAATCACTTTAAATCTTTATACTGAATTTTACTGATTTACAGTCTTTTTTTTCTCAACAAGGTTGTTTATTTTGTGCTGAGGATAATTAATGAATGATTTAGAACTTCTTGTTGATATGAATACATTTAGATAATGAAGTAAGTGAGCAATGCATGAGAGTTTAGCAGTCCTGTTCAGGTGTAGTAGGACGCATCAAGCCTCTCTCTGATAAGTAGTTTCAGAAAAAACAGATTGAAACCAGTAAACCAGTATAAGGCAGTTCTATGTGATAAGCATTTCACATCTGGACTTCATTGACATTTTTTTCCCTGTGACATCTGCTGAGGGGTGGTAAGAGGCACAGCCTTCTGTATAATGCAGAGTCACGCTTCCAGCTAAGACTAATTTACTTTGACAGTTATTGATGGCTCTGGACAAAATAACCAACTAACCATACTGTCTGCTTTTTTTCTTTCTGGTTGTTTTGCAGATAACTTTGCAAAAGTAAATCGGGTGCATTATAAAAAAAAATAGTGAAATCTAGCTACCTGTAAATGGATTTAGCCTTTCCATCTAATAGTGCAGTAGACCTGGACCCATTTTTAACATTTTTAATTTAAATTTAAAAAAATATACAGCCAATACAACAAAAGAGAGAAGACATATTTTAAAGTATTCCTCAAACTATTGTGAATGGCAACCTGCTCATCAAGATTTTATTAAAAATATATTTAACAAATAAAGTTTCGATACGTTTTCTAAAGAGACCATGGGGTCTAAATTTGCCATACTCTCAGTGCAGGCTTTAGCAGCATTTAATAAGTGTTTTAGCAATGAATTTTTATATTTTTTTAAATGGATAAAGGGGTATCATGCAATGCGTATGCTGCTAGGTTTCTGTGTAGAGACACGCCTGTGAAGGTACCAATTGTTCTACCAGGTCCTAGAATTTCTGAAGCTGTGGACAATCCCAAAAGTTACGTACCTTCCCAAAATTTAAGTGCCTCCAGCCTCAAGACACCTTCAGCATTGATTATTGGTTTGTGGAACATTTAGATGGGGTTTAGTGGGAATTCTGTACCACCTCGTAAGGACCTTATTATAAATATATACTGGATATACAATTAGCAATTGAGGCCTTATTGGCAAAAAGAAGTATGCGTTCTTTTTGGGTTTGGGTAAACATAGTATTTAAGTCTTTTTCCATCTCTGTAAGAATGGGAGCTTGTTCCTTCTACTAGTGTATGATAAAGATAGGATAGGTTATGTTATACTGGGTGTCTGAGCTAGGCATGATTGTTCAAAGGGGGTAGGATCTCTGATTGTTGTACTGTCATGGGGATGCTTTTGAGGAGGAGAGGGGTATGATCCAGGATATGGTCTTAGTTATCTTGGTAGTGCCTACCAGCAGGTTTTGACTAATAGCCGAGGTTCTCTGATGAAGGCTTGTTCCAGATTGACTTTGACTTTAAAGGGGTAGTAATGGTCCCCCCATGCAGGCCCATACCATTCGCACCACATACTAGCACATTATGACAAACGTACCTTTTATAAAGAGCCTTCCAGCAACATGCTTTTACCACTGCCTACGCTTCCATCTTCATTTAGTCTTCCTTCCAGATTTACACTCTCCAGCCATTCAAATGTCTGGGCCTTGATGACGTCACTCCTGTGAATGTGGATAGGAGTCATGATCATGGTACAGCACTCTCTGCATTGATGGCATACTCAATGTGCCCTGAATGCAGAGCTGCTACACATACGACGGTGACATCACACTAGCGAAAGTTTAGAAGATATTTAGGTACAAGTAAAGAATAAGACTTTACTACTGTTTTAAATTGTATTGTATGCACAAATTCTTACCAGTCTGGTAAGGTGGGTTGCTTTGTGGTATTTGACTAGTTTAAGGAAGCCTATGCCTTTTCTTCTTTTTTTTTTTTTTTATCTTGAGCAGAATTAGGATTGATCTCTTTGGTCTAGCTGATTTTCTGGCTTAAGTGTATTTCAGAAATCTGCTTCTCAGATCTCACATACCGTATATACTCAAGTATAAGCTGAGTTTTTCAGCACATTTTTTGTGCTGAAAAACGGCCCCCTCGGCTTATACTCGAGTCAACGTCTGCAGATGGCTCCCCCCCCCCTTCCAACAGAAGGGACACTAAGTACAGGGGTGGGCAGGGAGCTGCTGTCTCTTACCTGGCTCCGGTCCCACGACGATCCGGTCCAGGAAGCGCGGCTGCTCCTTCATTCGGTTCGTCCACTGGATGTTCGCGCGGCTGCTCGGCTCTGCCTTCTCACTGGTGATTGGCCGCCAGAACTGTAGCTCAGGAAAGGCACACAGGCGGCCAATCACCGGCGAGGAGGCGGAGCTGAGCGGCCCCGCAAAAGTTGAGTGAAGGAGATGCAGGTAAGTGTGCCGTGCTTAGGTGCTGCTGCAACCACATATGCTGGCTGCAGCAGCACCATACTGGAACAGGGGTCAGCAAGTGTCAGTGGGAGGAATAGTGCCCCATCATTGGTGTCACTGATACCAATGATGGGGCATTATTCCTCCCACTGACACCAACGATTGGGCACTTTTCCCCCCCCCCCCCCCCCCCCCCTACTGACACCAATGATGGGGCACTATTCCACCCCCCACTGACACCAATCATGGAGCACTATTCCACCCCCCCACTGACACCAATCATGGGATACTATTCCTCCCCCCCCACTGACACCAACGATGGGGCACTTTTCCTCCCCCCCACTGACCCAACGATGGGGCACTATTCCTCCACCCCCCCCCCACTGACACCAATGATGGGATACTATTCCTCCCACTGACACCAATGATGGGACACTATTCTTCCCACTGACACCAAAGATGGGGCACTATTCCACTGACCAATAATGGGGTGCTATTCCCCCCACTGATACTAATGATGGGGCACTATTCCTGCCACTGATACCAATGATGGGGCACTATTCCTCCCACTGACACCAATGATGGGGCGCTATTCCTCCCACTGACACCAATGATGGGGCGCTATTCCTCCCACTGACACCAATGATGGGGCACTATTCCTCCCACTGACACCAATGATGGGGCACTATTCCTCCCACTGATACCAATGATGGGCACTATTCCTCCCACTGATACCAATGATGGGGCAATATTCCTCCCACTGACACCAATGATGAGGCACGATTCTTCCCACTGGTGTTCCCACCCTCGGCTTATACTCGAGTCAATAGTTTTTCCCAGTTTTTTGTGGTAAAATTAGGTACCTCGGCTTATATTCGGGTCGGCTTATACTCGAGTATATACGGTAAATCTTAGTGGAAGCTTCACTGGAAGGGCTTGGAGGAGGTACAATAATCATGCAGATACTTTCATCTTAATGATACTATTCTGGCTGAACTAGGTAAATGCTTACCTGTTCTAGAATTTTCAGTCCTGTTTGACTGTCCTAGCCAGGAGACTGAAGTTAAACTCGAAGAATAACAGGTATGTTGAACCCTAGCTAGCATACATGAGAGATTGACCATTTAAATGGAAAATGACTTACGATTTGGTCTCTTAAAATGTTGGTGAGCCCTATACCCATCACTTTAGACTCATGATAGCTTAATATACCCTGTCAAATGCTTTTTCAGTATCTATAGACAGGAGAACTTATGGGATATGTTTCATTTGGACATAGTGATTGGCATTTAGGACTTGGGTGCTATACCTCGCTTCCCTTTCTAGGGCAAATCCTAAGTGATCTGGGTGTATTAAATTGGTGATATAGGGGAGTAGTCTTGAGAGCATTTTTATGAAAAATTTTAAATCCACATTTAGCAGTGAAATGGGGAGATATTGTAGCTTTGACAGAGCTTAGGGACCTTGCCCTCTTTTGGGATGACTGATATATAGGCCTGTAGGGATTCTTTAGGAATTTTATGGTTATACCTTATGAAATGATATACACGCACATATGTTGCCTATATTGACTTTTAAAGTGATACTAAAAAGAGAAGTATTGATTTCCATAATTCATTCACATAAATCATATATATCATGCCACTGTATTATAATTTTTTTAATCCTCTAAGTACCTGCAGTATTGTTATGTGGTGATATTTACACGTATGTGATTAGTGTCAGAATAGGTCCAGTAGGCAAGTAGATATTTCACTCACAAACTGAATGCTTTAGTGGCTTTGTGAGCATGCACACTCTGTTGTATAATATGTAATGAGAATTTTTCATAGCCTGGGTTTGGTGATGCTTTTAATGCAGGTTTTCTTTTCTGTCTTTGTTCAATGTACATTTCCCCTCACTTACATCCCGTCTCAGAGAAAACAGCAGGAAATGAGAGGAAATGTGTCAAAAGTGAGGGAATCCCCGTTTTGGACTATTGTCACTTTTCCCCTTCATTCCTGTTCAGCGATAGCTGTGACATTCTGGATTTCCGATTTACTTTCTGTCACAATGACAAAGGGAGATGGTGAGTCTCTCCAACTTGTACAAAGATAGCAGTAAAAACCTGAGAGGGGTTTTAACCCTTCCATATTCTCGCTAAAACTAAAAAAAAAAGGTTTTAGTTAAATTTTTAAGAAAAGTTACACTGTTTCTGTTAAAAGGAGTCAAACAAGATTCTGTATGTGCAGATGTATGAAGAAATCATGTTCTGGAGCTTAGTGGTTGTGCCTTGATCCATAAAGCACATGTATTTTCTTGCTTATTTGGATCTAGTGCATTGAATGTGACCCCAGCTTGTCATTGCACACGGGAATTTCTTCATCCAGCCAACATTTCCCACAGGTGCAATCTCTGTTCAAAGCTAAACATTCTTTCTGAGAAGATGCACAAGCATGAGAGAAGGGCCCTCCATTGGAGTATAATGGAAAGGGAATATGTCATGCAGCACATCCTCCTCATTGATAATCAGGCTCATCCCTTACAGATAAGTTGGCACTCCAGCATGTGATCTGAAAGTGGAAATATCACAAAGTAAATTAACTTGTTCAACTAAGATTACAGAGCGTATTTCTGTCATGAGTGGAAAGGTAGTGGAAGGGATTGGCATAGACTTGAATGAAACTCTCCTGTATTGCAGGAGCAGCATCCTCTTCAAGTATGTGTGGGATTAGTGCATAGGTGTGGGCAGCCTGGCACTATAATGTTTAGTGGACCAGACAGCAGGGAAGAGGGAGCTGGATGTCAGGGAGAAAGGGGTATGGTAGCTATTGTTGGTGGTAAGTATGGACTTGCGCAGGTCCCAGAATTATTAGACTAGTTGCACTAATTGTACCGCACAGAAAATGCACAATTCTGGTTTTCACTGTCTTATTGTGCCAGGAAACGGAGGGAATTTTCATACGTGGTATCTTTTATCTGTTTCAAAGTATTTCCACATGTTTCAGATTAGGCTGGTTTGATGGAAGCCTTGTTTTCCAAAAAAGGGAATCTGCATTACAAATACATCTGCTTCTCATAAAATGAACAACGGTGTAGTTTTACTGCATCCCGCTGCTGTACTACACACTTTGAATTCAAACTTCATTTTTGGTGTTGATAATAAGCCAACACTTATACAAAGCACAAAGACTCACCACCAGCAAAACATAACATAGTAGCAGCAGCACTCAAAATAGAAATAAAAATGTGGGTCTTAATGCTTCATGAACTTTCCAATTTTTTTTTTTTTTTTTTTTCTTACTGATGCTAAAAAAGATCAATATTCCAGCTGGTACTAATATGTACCAGCATACGAGGAACATTTTTATAAAATAATTTTTCCCATTCACACCAAGCATTACAGTATTGCTACCATATAGATTACATGTCAAATTTTGTACAATTTTGCAGCACCCCTTTTCATATACCGTCATCCAAATCAGAAAAGCAGATGTCTGTGGACTGATTATCACTCTCGCTTTCCTCATTTAGCGTTGATGAAGTATCTTCCTGCTCCCAAGACTGTTCCTACTGAATATCTACAGTGACCTGGTCACCTTCAGCTGCCTTACCCTACTGTCTGATTCTAGACACTGATGGGCCAGTTGTGCTGTACCCCAGCTCACACTTTCTACTAACAGTTCCAGTGCGGCCAGTAGCACACCTCCTGAGTGCTTCTGACAGAACTGTTGCAGGGGTTCTGCTCCAACCTGTCATAACCTGCATTCAATAGGTAGACTTTCTGGCCTCTGTGGACATGAAGGACACATACATGAAAGACCTACTTTTTTTCAGCACATCATATATTCCTTTGCTGTGGGGCCTTTCCAATTCAAGTTTGAGGTACAGCAATTAGGCCTATTTTCTGCACCTTGGGTATTCACCAAGGTGCTGGACCCTGTGCTAGCCTTACTGCGATCTCAGAGCATTCCCGGTGTGGAATATCTGTACAATCTCCTGCTGAGAGAACAGTTGGCGTAAGTTCTGGTGACAATGTAGTGCAGACAGTACAGATGTTTGGCTGGGTCCTGAGCCTTCACAAATCCCCACTGGAACCAGCTCATTGCATTGAATATCTGGGCCTAGTTCTTGACATAGCTCAAGCCAGAGTTTTTATTCCCCTGGAGAAACTCTTTGCTTTGGCATAAGAGTCCTGGGGTTGATGGGAGCCTCCTTCGAGGGAGTCCTAATTGCCCAGTTCCACACCAGACCTGTGCTACTGAAAAATCTGCCATCATGAGACAGTTCAGTTCAATTCTAGAACAGACTGAGGACCAGGTTGTCCCTGGCTTTGGTGACTGAGAAATCCTAATCTGGCATCAGGAAAGTCCTGACCTATGGCCCCCTGGAAGATTGTCAAGAGGGATATCAGCCTGTCAGGCTGGGAGGGAGTCCTGGACATCTTCCCAGTGCAGGGGACATGGTCGTCAGAATAATCTCACCTCCTGATCAACATTCTTGAATTTCGGGCAATTTAATTGTCCCTGCAAAACTATACATTACGGTTGGATCTGGATGTGTTGGACAACACAACAGGAGTGGCGTATATCAACCATTAGGGGAGTGGCAGAAGTTTTGTCCAAGAGGTACATCAAGTTCTGCCCAGAACTTTCTACTCTAGTCTTTTCTGTCATTTACTTCCCAGGTCTGGACAATTTTCAGGCAGGACCTGTTTCACAGGTGGGTAGGCACCAATTGTGGCCTTCCAGACCTCCAAGTTCAGCAACTAACTGGACAGGTTAGTCTCTAAGTACAGGGATCCTTTGGCGGAAGTAGTAGATGCTCTTTTTGCTCAGTGGGATTGGTGCACCTTAACCTACACCTTTCCTTCCTTGAAACTCCTTTGTCATCTGCTTTGCAGGATTGAGATGGAGGGCATTCCTGTAATCCTAATGGCTCCAGACTAGCTCAGGTGGATGTGGTATTCTGACCACTATGTCCAGACCAGTTTATCAGAAGGGGATCTCATGTCATTGCCTGCATGTAGTTCAGGCTGTGAGAGATTACCTCCACAGTTACTGCTTCTTTCAGAAATTCTGAGTCTCTCGTCATTTCTGATGGTCCCTGTAAGGGTGAACCAGCTTCTCATTCCACTAATTAACATTTGCTCAGAAAGACCATTCAACCTATAGTCTTAAGGATCGAGAGCCAACCTATTGTGTCAAGGCACATTCCATCAGATCTGTAACCTCCTCTTGGGCTCTTCAGCATCAGCCTACTGTTTTCTCAGTTTTGCAAGGTTGCAACCCCATCTTCTATTCACATGTTTTGTCCAAACATTCTTGACGTTTACCAGTTGGATGTTCAGGCCTCATCTAATGCCAGCTTAATGCATAAGGTTCTTCAGACTTTTTAAAAGCCAAGTTCACCTTTTGAAACATGTTACATGCTCCACCCGTATTTAAGGTGGAACTGGTATGTTCCAGCTCCTAACAAACAAGATATACCTGTGCTCAAATCCCAACAGCTAGTGCATGCATTTATCCATCAGGTGCTAAAGGGGTGCAACCACATATTAACACTAGAAATTCTGTAGGACCCTCTGCACACTGGTATATACCCTTTCAAGCAGACTTTGCAATAAATAGGGATATTTAGTTCACACATATTGCAATACATGTTTAAGCTGGCCAACTGCGTCAAAGTAATCCCTCTATGGCCAGTCCTACTCTGCTCTGCCTACGCAAATGCTACTTTGGACACAATGCCAACAGAATTTCTAGTGTTAATATGTGGTTGCACCCCTTTAGCACCTGATGTATAAATGCATGCACTAGCTGTTGGGATTTGAGCACAGGGATCTCTTTTTTGTTGCATTGTGGGTCAGTAGCCAGACCTGAACCTGGTAGCTCTCCCCCACTTTGTCTTTTCCCCTATGTTGGCATTGTGTCCACAGTAGCATTTGCGTAGGCAGAGCAGAGTAGGACTGGCCATAGAGGGATTACTTTGACGCAGTTGGCCAGCCATTTATTGCAAAGTCTGCTTGAAAGGGTATATACCAGTGTGCAGAGGACCCTTCAGAATTTCTAATGTTCCAGCTCCTGCCCCCTCTACTCCTGATTTAACCCCCCCCTCTCAGCTGTCACTTTTAAAAACTGTGCAGCTATGAGGGGCTGAATAAACTAAAATATGGACTTGTAGTTTCAGTTGCCTGAAGGAGTGCTGATGAAGCCTCAAAATAAAAGGATTTTATGGTAAGTATAAAAATCCTATTTTTATAAGTATAATGTAGTCACTCTAATGAATTATGACTTTTGTTTGGTTGCTTAGGATTTTCTTATGTATTTTGGTGTCTGCACTTTGTTAATAAGTCTACTGAAAACTTGTTCTAAGACATTCTGATTTGAATGTTGGCCTCATAATTGTTTTTTTATTTTTTTCCAAAGGGACTGCAGGTTGGAGATGAAATTATTGCATTTGGCTCAGTAAACTCAAAAAACTTCCAGAATTTACAGAATATTGCCACTGTAGTTCAGCACAGCGAGGGGGTAAGTGCACACGTTAAACCTCACACATTACTTGTAGCAAAATCAATAGTTTTGTTTTTTTTTTTTCTTAAACCAGAAATTAAAGCCCAGGTGTACATTTGTTTATTTACTATATAAGCTGGTCATACAGAGCGATTTTCGTAGTCTGAAGGAAAAAAAAATTAAGATTCCTCCATCTTCTCTACACAGGGCGGATGGACAAATCTCCCGCTGCGGCTATTGTGTTCAAAATACCCCAACTGTGCCTGCATATGTTTGGATGCAGATGCAGTTCGGCTGACAATTTTCCACATGGCTCCCTTGATTGTCACTGGAAAGATGTCAGGCAGGGGTGCCGAAAAGACCAACCATGGAGCAAAATATGGGTGGTTTATCAGGAACCAGCCAAAATTTGCTTTGTGTATGGGCAGCTTTTTTTTCACCTGACCCTGCTCACTTTTTTCAAATGTCTTTGCTTTTCTGGGTGACGGTGGAGGTAGTCATTGGAACAGAATGGCTGTTGGTATCACCATCACCTAATTGTAATTGGTAATCATGCTCCGTGCAGATCACTGCATTCTGAAAAAAGAAGCACAACAAATAGGAAAATGTGAGATCTGATATTTTATTTTTGGTCCAGCTCACATAACACAAGAATCAGAGAAAATTGGAGGGCAAAGAAACATGTAAACATTACGATTACAGAAGCCTGAAGTCCTTTTAAATAAGTGCATGGCTGTAAAAAAAAATTCTAAGCATCTATGACAAAACTTTTAAAAATAATAGATCTCAATATAGAATGTTTAGTATTGGGTGGATTTGTGTGTATTAAGCCATTGCCTTTATTGTAGAATTCCACTTAAAGCCAACACTTTAGCTAAGCTCCACATTTGTTCATAGGGATGAATGAAGTGTGGAGTGGAATTAGCCAAAAAAAGGAAACCTGAATTTAGAGAAATATTAAGGCTGTCAGTGCTAACTTCCTTCTGAAATTCTAGTTTTCTGGTTTCAGTATTCTCTCAGTCCCTTACTAAGATCAAGCATGTAACCATTGAAGGCTGTCTAAAGTCAGAACTCCTTATCTGCATACATGTTTTAGGTCAGAAAGCATTGTATCCATTGGAATATCACGGCAAGTAGCATTTAAAAAAAAGAGAGGTCAGCAAGTTTGCACTGATATTTCTTTCAGTAAAGGTTTCATTAAATGTCTTGTTCATATTGGGTAACTCCTTCCCACCTGCAGTCTATTAAAGTTCCCTAGTATGATACTCTAGGATGCATTAATAAATTCCCCCGTTCTCTTGAGAGCCAGTAGCTGATATTTTGGTGTTGACTTACCATAAATTGGAGAGTGCCGTATCTGGTGCAGCTATGCATAGAAACCAATCATCTTCCAGGTTTTATTGTTAAAGTGTAATTGAACAAGCTGAACTTAGAAGCTGATTGGTTACCATGCATAGGTGCACCATATTTTGAGTGCTCAAGTTTTAGTAAAACAACCCCTTTGTCAGGTCCCCACTGACCAAAAGGAAGTAGTTAGAGTGTGTCAGCTATGACATAGTAGTAAGCCGATCTGTGTAACGTGATGACGCTGTTCCATGCTGGAGTTAAATGATCACCTCACTGGTATGAAGGGGGAGCAGTGTCCACAATAGTATCTAGTCTAGCAAGCGTGATGTGGGAAAGGACACTGCTGTAACCACATGTGGAATCTTGTATGAAGCTGTCGCTCCAGCCACGTACACTGACGCATTTCGCCCTGCCCACAGCGGAGTCTCTGTGGCCAAGCCCCGGTGGGCGGGGCAAAATACATCAGAGGACGTGGCCGGAGCAACGGCTGAGGCCACCTTCATACAAAATTCCACATGCAGTTAGAGCGGCATCCTTTCCCACATCAAGCTATGACATAGTGATCACATGCAGGCTAGAGGCTCTACTGAAAAACAAAAAGCATAGAAGCATTCAGCCTGCATAGATGGACCACCACATTGAGGCCACAGTGCCATTCATTTTAATTGTAACTGTGATTGTCCAGTATTAAAAAGATGATGCAATTTACAACTTGAAAATGGTTTTGAATAAACATGCCATGCGTTCATTATTACCTTGAATGTTGTATTACAGAGACCCTTAAGTGTGACCGTTATCAGGGATGGAAAGTCTGTTCATTTAGGATTAACCCCACAGCGATGGAGTGGAAAAGGACTTTTAGGGTATGTTTTGGCAAAACCGTTCACTCTTATAGGGTGTTGATCAAACAAGCTACATCCAATGCTTTTGTGACTTTCAAATATAAAATTAATTTTTTTTTGCATGCCCCTTTAACCACTTCACACTTTGAATGACAATTGCGCAGTCATGCAACACTGTACCCATATGAATTGTTTAGCATTTTTTGAGACACATAAAACTTTATTTTGGTGGTATTTATTCACCACTGGGATTTTTTATTTTTCTGTTATATAAATAAAAATTTCAAACATTTTGAAAAAAAAGTTGTTTTTTTTTTTATATAAAATATTGCAAATAAATTATCTTTCTTCATAAATCTTGGCCAAAATGTATTCAGCTATCTTTTTAGTAAAAAAAAAAAAAATAACCCAAATTGAGTTTATAACCAAAAATTATAATTTTTCAAAAATGTATTTTAATAATATTATTTGTTTTTTGTTTTTTTTTTAACATACTGTCACCCTAGCAGTACAGTGTCACCATAGTGACACTGTACTACTTGTGGGGGGTGATGAAGATTTTTTTTTTTTACACTGATTGCTTTTACACCCATAAAGGCTGTAAAAGCAATAATTTCTCCTTCTCTCTGGCTGCATTCCTGCAGCCATTGTGAAATACTGTGAGAGCTGTGATTGGTCACAGCTTGTCACATGGTACAAGGCTGTTGTGAATAGTCTCGTACCATGTGACCTCTGTGATCATTCACAGATTTCACAAGTAGTAAGCAATGATATCAGGAAGTGACATCTTGCTTACTACTATTCATGTGATCACAGATTAGCCAATCCGTGATCACATGAATCGGGACCTCACACCGAGGTCCCGTAGAGCGATCGGTGTTCTGCTGTGTCTTCTGGACACAGCGGGCACCGGATTGTGTTGCCGCGCGATCCCAGGAAGTGCGCACAGGCAGGGAATACGAGAGGACGCGTAAAAATGGCCACCCACTCCTGCACTGCTCCCATCCGGCTGTTTATGTACATGGGCTGGACGGAAAGTGGTTAAAAACAATAAAGAGATCTGTTTCTTGGCATATGGGGGAAAAAAAAAACTAACATGAATATAGAAATAGATATTATGATATGTAATCCTGTGGTGTCTGTGATTCCAGTTCCCCAAAAAGAGGAATTCTACAGGTGAAGCAACATACATACTGGCAGTATAAAAGAAAAAGCTCATAGTATAAAGAGTAGAGCGGAGAAAAAAATGGGTCTTGCACATAATAGCCAAACAACAGGTTTCAGTTTCCACTGTTTCTCTTACTGACAGCTGCTTAAGCCACTGTCTGGCTCAGCCAGTATAAGAGACAGTGAGGTCATAAAAATGTTTTTCCATGGCTGACATATCTTGTTCTGTTGGAATACAGTGTTCATGTATTTTGTGCAACAACTTCATCAGTATTCAGTAGAGATATATTCTTCAACTAGTAGATGGCAATGTTTATGTTTGTAGCTGACTCTATATGGCAGTGGTTCTCAACCTTCCTAATGCCGTGACCCTTTAATACAGTTCCTCATGTTGTGGTGACCCCCAACCATAAAATTATTTACCCAGTAATTATAATTCATGAGTGTCGTTTTACCTCCAATACTGCTGCATCAACACAGTAGCTGCTTTTAACAGAGTAGCTGCTTTCAACACAGCAGCTGCTTTCTACACAGTAGCTGCTCTTTACACATCGGAAATATGTGTTTTCTGATGGTCTTAGGGGACCCCTGTGAAAGGGTCGTTCGACCCCAAAGGGGTCGCGACCCACAGGTTGAGAACCACTGCTCTATGGTATAGTATTTTCTGTGTCTTTTCTCTAAATAAAGTTTCCTGTTGCAGTGAAGCAGCAAAGCACATGTGGGCTGTCTTTTCTCTACAGAACAAACAGTGCACAGTCCACATGTGCTTTGCTGCTTCACTTCAATGAGGAAACAATAAACTTTATTCAGAAAAAAGACATAGGGAATACCATGCCATAGATGCAGCTATATACAGAATTTCTTACCTGTTCTGTGCATAGCACATTGGGCAGTAGTAAATTAGTAAATGTCATTACTGTAATTAATGATGACCATGAGCTGTAGCGTAACTATGCTTAGCTTATATCCAACAATAACGTATATCTGTGTTTAAAAATTGTGCATAATTACACAAAATTGGTAAAAATGTACACCAAATTTAACTTTAGGATGGGATAAGGGGTGGTCTGTAGAAATCTTAATGTGTATCTGAACCCAAGAAGAGAAAATGTTATTATATCTCAACTTACCAGCGCTTAGATTGGATGGTTACATTTATTTTTTGTTTTCTTTTTTTCACCAGATGGTCACTAAAGTTGGTCATAAATGGATTGAAAATTAGGCTGGTTCAATAGGGATTGGCTGAATTTCAATCCACGTGTGGCCACTGCAGTTGCACATAAGTCAGTTGACTTTTGTTTAACCACCCTGTGTAGGATAAAGGCTGCTCGGTGAGCTGATCTGACAGAATCGGTCAGAATACAATAGCGTGCGGGGAGGATTCCCCCATCGAGTGTGTGGATGGGGGAATTAGTTTAGTTTTTTTTTTTTTCTCATTCAACCCAATGACTGCCAGCTTATAATAGAAACCTATTATGTGATTCTCCAAGAATATTTTGTTGATTTTGAGCACGCAGAAACACAAGAATATAGAAGAACAAAATGGAGTGGCAGAAAAAAGTGACCTATTTACAATCATAAATCAGATTAAAAAAATGCAGCGCAGCAATATAAACTCAAAGGTGCTCATAAGACAAAAGGGCATAAAGGAATAGTGAAAACAGAAATCTATATGTGACAATAAATATGTGCTACACCCAATGTCTTCTTAACACATACACATAAATGACCCTAGACGTGCACATAAGAGTGCTGAAATGAATGTCTGATTCATGGTTTACATGTGGGAACACATTATATGCTAGCCGCACAATTTATTTTGTAGGATATTTATTGCGCTGAGGGTTTTCTATGCACATTGACTATTTACAACCAGCCAACTTTTCACTCCAACCTAACAGTAGTATGAACATTATTATTATTATTATCATTGTTGTTACTATTTGGGATTTATATAGCGCCAACATTTTGTGCAACAGTTTACAACCTAAAGGGAGACATTACAGTTACAATACATTAAAATACTAGAGGGGGCCTGCTCATAAGAGCTTACAATCACTTGTGATTTATCATTAAAAGTAAGCACATTAAAGACCCTGCATGCCTGTATACCAAGAGCATGTTAGGGGCAGGCAGGGATGATTAGACGGAATTGGATTCCTGCCCGGAGCTGTAAGCAGCTGGCAGTAAACTGGCATTAATGCTGCTCCAGGTCTTGTCTTTTACAGTTGTACAATATTTAGTAACCTGCTTAACTGTGTATAAATACTATATAAGTGTTTTTAGTCTTTAACCTCTTCCCGTCCGGCCCATTGCCAATAAATGGCCAGAAAGGAGCACTGCTGATGAGGGTGTACGTTTCTAAACATCCCCCCGCATCCATTGCCTGTGCATGCTCCCAGATCGCTGTACGGGATCGCTGTGTGAGGTCCCGATTCATGTGATCACTGATTGGCCAATCAGTGATCACATGAATAGTAGTAAACAAGATGTCACTTCCTGACATCATTGCTTACTACTTGTGAAATCAGTGAATGATCACAACAGCCTTGTACCATGTGACAAGCTGTGACCAATCATAGCTTGCACAGTATTTTTCAATGGCTGCAGGAATGCAGCCAGAGAGGAGGAGAGATTATTGCTTTTACAGCCTTTATGGGTGTAAAAGCAATAAGTGTAAAAAAAAAAAGAAGAAAAAAATCTTCATCACCCCCATAAGTAGTACAGTGTCACTATGGTGACACTGTACTTCTAGGATGACAGTATGTGTAAAAAAAAAACACATAAATAACAATTTAAAATAGTAAAAAAAAAGTTTTTTAAATTATGTTTGGTTATAAACTAATTTGGGCTATTTTTTTTTTTTTACTAAAAAGATAGAGGAATACATTTTGGCCAAGATTTATGAAGGAAAAATTATTTGCAAAATTGTATAAGAAAAACACTTTTTTTTTTCAAAATGTTTGGTCTTTCATTTATATAGCAAAAAAAATTAAAATCCCAGTGGTGAATAAATACCACCAAAATAAAAGCTCTGTCTCAAAAAAATGCTAAAAATGTAATATGGGTACAGTGTTGCATGATCGCGCAATTGTCATTCAAAGTGTGATAGCACTGAAAAGCTTAAAATTGGCCTGGACTGGAAAGGGGTGAAAGTGTCTACTCTTGAAGTGAATAACTAATAAAACTGCATCATTTAATGGTATTGTAAACCTGATGTCTTTGTTTTGACAGGTGCAACATCATTCCAATAAAAAGATAATCTGAAAAGGTGTTCCTACTTTAAGTGTTTGGACTACAAGTTAGGTTTTACAAGCAAAGACAATTTTGGAAGTTCTTAGAGAGTGGAAGTTGGACTGATGTGAAGAAAGGCGTAGCCCCTGGATTTGGAGTTCACTTGTATGTGTTTATTTTTTGGTCTAGTTGATGAATAAAATGTTACTTCTTTATTATATTTGTAAAGTGCACTTATTTTTATAGAGCTGATTACCTTTTAGGCAACCCTGTACTTCTGTCAGTGTGTTTGGTAGGAATTAAAGGCTTAAAGTGTTACTAAACCCACAGCAGTAAAATCAGCCTGTATATACAGTAAAGCATGCTTGTTATACTCACTGTGGAACCTAAAGGGTTAATCCCCTGCATTGTGTAAAAAGGCTGTTTGATCCTGTCTTCTCTGCCCCTCCTCTTGCTGAAATGACCACCTGATACATATTGAATCCGTAGTCACGTGCACATGCTCAGTTTGGTGTGTATTGTGAGAGGGTTTTTTTTTCTTGGGAGAGTGCATGTGATCAGCACAGGGCCAATCAGCACTGTCCAGACACAGGGTCAGGACTTTCACTTCCTTCTAGAGCA